AATTTTGAAAATCTAGATTGCCACCAAGGCTTTGTTCATACACTTCCCCAGTTGAAGACAATAGTGGCATTTGATGTGCACAACATACTAAACATGATTAGTGTTTTTGTGGTTAGGGAGTTGCGCAATCCAACCTTTTGGTTTACCTTATGAGTCAACCTGCTGTGTAAAGCCAGAAAATTAATTTAATTCAGTTGCCAAGATGCTTTGTATGAGAACAACCCATGTGGTCCAGTTTTACCCAAGCTGGTGGTTTCCAAATGTGCTGGGTATCAAGTCCCATAATTCCCAGCCACTTGCTGGAAATTATGTAAACTCTGGATCAGCAAATTTGGGGAGGCTTTGCCAATGCTTTAAATCACAGCATTTCTACCTCCTCTGTTCTGAAACCACATAGGGGCATCTCTATCCTTTGAAAGAGCATATTTGTTCCCTTTTAAATTACTCTCCACCTTGTAAGCCTGCCCATTATCACAGCCTACTGGAGACCCCAAAAAACGAAGGAGTTCCCAAACCACCCACAAGATCAAAGAATTATTTTTCGGTGGCTGTGTTAGAAGTTACACCTCTCCTAAAAATATTGTTTTTAACAGTTGCCTGGGCTTTCCAAACCACTGTGTTTTATAAAAAAAAATAAGATCAAAATAGATCCCTGGGCTAAAAAAAAGGCCACGCGTGGTTTGGTTGGTAGAATTCCAGTGGCAAATGTAGAGGCCTTGAGAATGAGTACAGCCAGGGTTTGTTTGTTTTTTTCCTGATCCCAAAACTGCTGAGGAATTGACGGGACCACCACCAGGATACCATTTTAACTCTGAAATTATCAAGTTTCATCTTGAGAATAAATATCTCTTAGCTGTGTGACTCCAAGTTCAAGATGTTGAATCAAAAGAGGCAGATGGCTGGACAAGGCCAGTAAGCTGAGGACGGAGAAGGAGAAGTGCCCCAAACCAACAGTGTAATTGAAGCTGGAATATCTCTCAGGATTCCAGCCAAAACTTAGCTGCCGCTTACAAATATTTTTAGAATATTCTTCCTTATGGCTCACTTAAGAATTCATAAGAAAAAGGCACAGGTGGCACATTTTTCATTCGTACCCACCTCTGGTGTCAGCATTTAATCAACCTGATCTTAGAAGACTAAGCAGGGTTGGCTCATACTTGGAAGGAAAATATCAGGAAATTCCAGGCTCATAGACTAGACTGGAATGTTGGAAAAACATCTTGTGGTTTCTAATCATCTAAGCCCAGACATTCTAGATTTTGAAGAGGAAGGTTAAAGGATAGGCTCACAAATTATTCCATAACTAGTGTTTCATTTTGATTCAGATTTGGACCTCATGCCTTTTGCAATGGTATCAGGCTATAGTGGCAGTATGATGTTGGAAGGAAGAGCTAAGAAGCCTGACCAGTTCTGTGGCCGGTCAGGAAGACAAACTCAGGAGTATCCAGCTGGCTTTTTCCCAGCAATTAAGCTTCCTTTTCTGTCTCAGGCAAGATGACTTGAGTTTAAAGTGCTGGTCCTGTACAACAACTTTGCTTGAACTTTTGCAGATCGTATTTTTTACACCCGCCCAGGATGAAATCACCAGGGTGGTGAGAAAGGAAATGGACTTGACTCAGAAATATTAAAGTAACTAACTGCCATGAAGACCAAGGCTAAGTCCATAACCACATTGCTTTTGGCTTTCTCCCTGTTCTTCCAATCCCATATACACACTTTGCTGATGACTCTTCCTCTTTGCTCAGCTTTCTTTTAAGAGAGGCCATACAGCCGTAAAGTTTGAGCCAAAGTTTCCACACCATCATCCTTTACGATTTCTCAGTGATATTCTTATTTGTTTCCCGGAATTTGATGAATTGTTAGTTCCTACAAAAGCTATTTTTAATGAGAAGCAAAGAAGTGCCTCGCTTCCTGGAAGGGAAGAAAAAGATTATGGAAGGCTTACTAAGCCATTGGAAAAGAGATCAATCAGTGCCCTTTGTTAGGGAATCCCTCACATGCAAGAGATAATTGATTATCATGGATTGGAGTCCAACAACCAGAGTACTGAATTCACAGCTCCCTTTCCCTAAGGCTGGTAGGCCTCAATTTGCAAGGAAGACTAAATAAATCTTGCATCTCATACAACCACGCTCTTCCTATTTATTCACAGCAATTGTTTGTACCTCACATTTGGCCAAAGAAATTAATGCAAGACTGTCAGTACGATTTAACTTGCATTCTAAAAGACCCAGAGGAAAAGAGGATGAAAAATGTAAATGTAGGCACATGGTTACCATTATCTGGAAGACAACTGACATAAATAGAAATACTTAATGGAGAGGAGTCAAATCTTGGCAGAGCTGGTGATGACCACATTAATTCCCTTATCCTTTACTGCCAGCTACCATATGCTTTAAGGCAATCAACCTCAACCAATGGTACAGGTACCCTAGGGGGATCTCAGAAACAATCTGAGGGTTGGGGTAAGTTGGTAAAAATTTAAGCTTATGCACTCAACATAAATGGTGGCAGAAGATTTAGAAACAGCTGGTGGCTTTCTTGGTGTCTTTGGACAGGAAATAGAAAAATCATTCCAGCAAGAACATTCCTTTTGCTGGTGTTCTCATCAAAATTCAGTTCCCGCTGAAATGATGCCCAGCAAAATTAGGATTAGGTTTTAAGAGGACACGTGTCATCCAAGTCCGTTGTGCTGCTAATATGGGGCACTAGGGGAAATGAAATTTCAAGAATTGTTGCAGTTTACCAAAAAAGCAATATTCCAAGTTAGATCACTGTTACACTGTAGCATTTTTCTAAGTAAACAGAATCTTCTTAGAATTGTTACAAATTATATAGATATAATTTGTAACCATATAAAACAATCCCACTTTAGCCATCTAAAAAACCTGATTAGAGTGTAAGATAATTATCTGCTGTTGCAGTGCTTGGTAAACTATATAGGTTTGGGTAATGTATATATAGTATTTTATATTGGCCTGAGTCATCTAATCTGCTCTGTCTATTTAACTATTCCTATCATATTTCTTCAGTAAGTTTAAGAGACCTCCCTGTCTTTTCTTTTAATTATTGATTCTTCTAAGGCTTGTCACCCTAAGACATTATTTTTGGATTGACAACAGCCTTAAATACATGCTTGGAAAAGACTCCATACATTCATAAAGACTTTCTGCTATTTTCATAGTGGGTTGTTTAATGGAAGATTTAGTGAGATCTAAGCACCAAAGCTGCAAATTGCTATTCTAGTAAATGTGAGTTCTATGCCCATCTGACTGCAAATATATTCAAGAAATTTCATGAAAAAGGAGCAGATACTTCTTAGAGAACCTTCATAATATATTTATGAGTGTTTTTTTAAAGAGGCCACAAATCAAAATGCCTCTTGTTTCCATTAACAGATTATTGAGCAATTGGAACTCCTGGCCTGTTTGTAAATTTCCAGCCAGGAGTTGGCAAACTGAACCCATCTGTTTATTTTGTTGAGAGGCTGTTTTGTACATCAGGTGCTTGTTGGGGGGGGGAGAGGGGGGGGAGTATACAGTACAAAAGTGATCAGCAAAATGTAAGAATATCTACATTTCAGTTTCTCTACAACAGTTCTGCAACCAATTTGAAAGATTATAGCAATGGCTGATGGCTGGGGAATTCTAGGAGTTCAAGCCCCCACATCTTAAAAGTTGCCAAGATTAAGAAACGCTGGATTAAAGTCAAGACAACTACATTCCAAATCTCCAAATATATTACAAGAGGGAATAGCAGAATTTCTATACATTGCCCAAATTTCCCAGCTTTGCAGGGAAAAAGAATTACATTGTTCCAAGTGAAGAATGGTTCCAAACTTAAGCGTTTATAAAAACTATTAAGAGAATTGGGCCATATGTAATTGCAGCAGACAGAAAGACTTGTGTGAAATTTTCTTGGAAGCTATCAAGTGTATTAAGCTGAGGATGGGCTCATCCTTATGTGGCAAAAGCCAGCCATCCTTGGGTAATCTTAAAAACTCGAGGTCAGATCTGGGTAGTGCGTGGGTGGGAGGAAAGTAACAGGAATGTTCAAGGCTACAGACAAGAAGGGAAAATGTCTCAGAAGGCAACAGTGATAACATGAATAGAATTTTGTGTAGATGTCCATGTATTCACCAGGGGTCAAGGGAACTTCACCTGCCCTCTGCAGCCCAGCTCAGACTCACTGGCCTTCTGCTTACAAATTCCTTGTGTGGGTGCTCCCCCTACTGTTCCCAGCAGTTAAACGATGTCCAATATTAAATATCCACACAACCCATGAACTTTTCATATGTAAATGTGAGTGGATTGGTGTATTTCTGCATTTAATATTTATTCAAAGAAATTCAAAAAGATCTGATGGAGTAAAAATATTAAGAAAATGAAAATAACTATTTGCCCAACAACATTTTTATTGTATACATAGAAACGTGAGGTGGAAGTGAAGAATGCGGAAGAATCAGGTTAGGTGTAAATGGAATGAGATACTATGTATGTATCAGAATGTAGGTATTAGAATGAAATTGATATTCTAATCTAGAATATGATGGTCAGAAATAACTGTACAGCACTAGCTATGTTAGTTTGTTTTTACCTTTGTTTCATGGCAAGTAGAATGCCAGGACAATTGCACTGTATTCAATATATTTATATGTAAGCAATAAAAATATATTTTAAAAAAATTATTGTACACAGTATGCTTATAAAAGCTAAACAAAGAATAACATTTATGCTCTTTGTCTATGCAACTTTATCATATCATCCATAAACAATGCCACTTTTATCTACGGTAGATAGAATTGATAAATACTTATAGAATTCAGTCTATAAATGATGGGTGAATAAAGAAGGAATAAAGACATTTTGATCTTCGGGAAACTGCATCCATACTAAAATAAAGGAATTTAATGAAATCATCCCTTTGGCCTAGCTGTGGACTCTCTCCACCTTGATGCACCAATGCCTCGAGATTCTTTCGATATGCTTACATGGACTTACCTTTGAAAGGTCCCTTGGACTGAAGGGAGAATCTGTCAAGTCGTGTTTTGTTCTACAGCCAGTCAACTCGCCATCCAGAGCTTGCATCCGTTGACCACGAATACAGTGGCAGCCTCTTCAGAAGTGGCTGGAAGGAAAAAGAAGGAATCAAGATCAGAAGCTGACATCTTCAGGCACAAAAATAGTTTAGATGCATCAACTCCAGCCAGTCCTAACTGGTATTCCAGAGCTTTTATTTGCATGACTCGGGCAGCTGCTGCCTGGGATAAATACTCCTATTGATGATTAGGGATGCTTTGGCCAAAAACAGGAGTCATCTTTATACAACGACTAGGTGGCTGAGTGGCTAAGACGCTGAGCTTGTCGGTCAGAAAGGTCGGCAGTTTGGCGGTTCCAATCCCTAGTACAGGTCTCCTGTGTGAGCAGGGGGTTGGATTAGATGACCTTCAAGGCCCCTTCCAACTCTGTTACTGTTACAATGTAGTTTTCCAGCCCATTCCCCTAATCTTTTCAAATTGCTTCACTTTTTCCTGCTATTGCTATTAAAATGTCCATTTAGCTATTTCACATCTTTTTTAAAAAAAAATTCCAAGCCATCCCAATGCAATGTCATTCCCTTGGTGTTTTCATCTCAATTCAGTGAATTTTATTTATTCATTCATTCAATTTCTATAGCCACCTATCTCAATCAATGATTCTGGGTGATTTACAATTCAGATTTTGTTAAGGTAAGCCCCTCCATTAGACTTTGCAGTGGCCACTGCTTGCAAATTCTATCTTTTTCATGCTAATCCCTTCAACTAAACCTTAATAAACATCCCTTAGTCAACTGATTTAGTACAGTGATAGTAGGCCTCAAAGCAAGCCCCATTAAGACTGGCTCATTGGTCAGTGTAAACCTGTGGTAGACAGCTGAAAGTGTAGCAACACAGCATTTGCAACTCTGCATGATAGCAGTGTTCTAATATTTAAGGGGCTGCCACAGAGACGAGGGGGTCAAGCTATTTTCCAAAGCACCTGAAGGCCAGACAAGGAATAATGGATGGAAACTGACCCAAGAGAGATTCAACTTAGAAATAAGAAGGAACTTTGACAGTGAGAACAATCAACCAATGGAACAGAAGTTGCCTTCGGAAGTTGTGGGAGCTTCATCACTTGAGATTTTCAAGAAAAGATTGGACTACCATTTGTCAGAAATGGTGTAGGGTTTCCTGCTTGGGAGTGGGATTGGAGTAGATGTCCTATAAGGTCCCTTCCAACTCTCTTAATCTGTAAATCTGTAAACTTGCTGGAATACAGTAAAAAGAAATGGCAGAAACCCACTAAGGAAATAAATAAACTAGCCAATTAACCGAATAGGCAGGTTTCCTTATCAGTCATTCTCAGCCTTCTGCAAATGTATTCTGATCCAAGTTGGAAGGCCTCAACCTTTTGACTTCCCACTCAGGCTTGTGAAAACTGATTTGAGGGTGCTCTCACAAAATGGCTGACATGGGGGCTCGCCCAGGGCTACTAGATTTACACTGCAAACATCTATAAACCCATAAAGGGGCCAAAAATCTCTACTAAGCAAGTATATACAAAAGTATGAAGGCTATTGCTTAAAGCATTGTAATCCACCCTGAGTCTCCGGAGAAGGGCGGCATATAAATCGAACTAATAATAAAAAAAAAAGTCTTTTTCCACATCTTTTGACTACCCTAGATGGGTTTGCAGCCCTCAGGGACAACACGGCTGCTGTCATTGACACAGCCAAACTAAAAAATATATATTTTCCTGAGGCAAAATGGGGCAGATTGTGATTTTCCCTTGCAACTTCCAATGTTTGCTGTTCTACTTTTGCAAGAGGCACTTTTTTTTTTTTTTTTAAAGAAGGCCTGTAGGGCCTTTTATATGGAGTTAATTCAGGCCTTTTTGTACTAAGTTAATTTTATTAATCTAAGTTAATTTTGTACTAAGTTAATTTAGGCCTATCTGTACTAAGGAATGATGTTACTCTTTACTTTATATTCAAACAATCCAGGTTAACCTGGATTTAACGTGGATAAACTCTGCAGGGGGTCAATTTTAGCTTGAAAACACACTGCTTTGCACAAAAAAAAAAAAAAAAGCAAGCCAGCTCAGCACCCTGGTTTGATAAACCAGGATTTGAGGCCTAGCGTTCCTCCCTGCCAGCCTTCCCATGAGGGCTCCAACAACAGGGCTGCTCCACAAGCCACAATTAAGCAAACCCTGGCTTAATGTGAGGGAAAATTGCTTTTTTTTTTCTTTTTCCCCTCATGGAAAACTCATTCGTCCCAACAGCAGGGTAGCCGGACGGCCCCAAAATTTTATAGCCTTAAAAACAACACACACACACACCCCAAAAAAAAAACCCCAAAAAAACGCCAAAAAAAAAAAATCCTCTCAGAAACGCTCCTCAAAACTCCCGCCAGAACGGCGCGCTCGGGGCCACAGGAGGCGAACTGCGCCTGCGCGAACCAAGGCGGAGGCGCTCAAAGCGTGCGGAACCGAGGAAGGAAATGAAAAAAAAAAAAAAATATGGCAGCGAACAGTAGGTGGCGCTGGTTGCCTATCGGCTCGGAGCACTCGCGCACGCGCACGAGAAGAAAGCGACGCCTTTCCGGATGCCTCCGCTTGCCAGGAGCTTTTCTTTGGATTTTTCTGCAGATGATGCAATTCCTTTGGTTGGGAGTGGGATGGGATGGGGGGGGGTCCCATTTCGAGGTTGGGGGCAGAAGATCCAGGGCTGGGCTGGTCCCAGCAGGAGTCACCCATAAAGAGGTGGGGGGGTGAGGAAGAGAGAAGTAACAGTAGCAGAGTTGGAAGGGATCTTCGAGGTCATCTAGTCCAACCCCCTGCTCATCCATACTAGGGATTCGAACCGCCGACCTTTGCATCAAGAGAGTATCAAAAAGTTCAGCAGGGTGTGAATAGTCCAAATATTAAGGCATGTTGGAGGTTGCAAAGCATGAAACCTGCTACCCCCCCCCCTCTGGTTTTTTTTCCTCAAAAGGATCCTTGGGGAGAAGAGATAGAAAGTGGGGGTGAGTGGGGTGAGAAACGAGAAGCTGGATCTGGGGGTTTAGTGCTGGGGGGGGAGCCTGGATAGCTCTGCAGACAAAGGCACTGTAATTTAACACCAGCTGTCTGCAATTAAAGTAAGTTCGAATCTTGCCAGGCTCAAGGTTGACTCAGCCTTCCATCCTTTCTAAGGTAGGTAAAATGAGGACCCAGTTTGTGGGGGCAATAAGCTGACTTTGTATAAAATATACAAAAGGATGAAGGCTATTGCTTAACGCCTTGTAAGCCGCCCTGAGTCTCCGGAGAAGGGCGGCATATAAATCAAATAATAATAATAAAAAAAAACACACACAAGAGGAAGATCCCTGCGATGCGTTATGCAGTTTTAGCATTCCTGGATGTTTTTGATGTCTGGCCCCAAAACTGTCCGAGCTCTTCAAAGTAGCCCAAAATATGTTTTTTTTCCCCCACTGCCCCCCCTAAAAAATATTCTTGCAACTGATCTCCAAAGCTAACCTGATTGGGTGAGAAAACCTCCCCCCCCCCACATTCCCAATGGAGTTTCCTGCACCTCCTTTTGGTAGTGGCGCTGAAGTCACCTCAAACCTTTTACAATCGGACACTACTTAAAATCGGGACAGGAAAAAAAGAGAGGAGGGGAGAAAACACATACGGATGAAGAGAGTTGTAAGGGACCTTGTAGGTCATCTAGTCCAGCCCGCCGCCTAAGCAGACCCTACACCATTTCTGACAGATGGCAGTCCAGTCTCTTCTTGAAAGCTTCCAGGGATGAAGCTCCCACAACTTCCGAAGGCAACTTCTGTTCCATGGGTTGATTGCTCTATCAGAAAATTCCTCCTTATTTCTTGGTTGAATCTCTCCTTGGTCAGTTTCCATCCATTATTCCTTGTCTGGCCTTCAGGTGCTTTGGAGAATAGCTGGTCTTTTCAAGTTAGAATTGTGTCGCTTGCACAAATAAAGAAGTTTGTGTTCTGAGCCTGACAGGGTGACAGAAGTCACCTGTGTTTCTAAACAACTGCCAGCAGACAAAATAAATCCCTTTACTCACTGTTAAAAAGGTCACTTCCTGCATTTATTCTTACCAATCTGCAATAGAGACTCAACATTACAACGTTGCCGTAAGGATAATTGTTAAAAGGCTCCATTTCAAAATTCTTGTATAAATGCAGTACAATTGTTACTTGGGGGGGGGGGTTTGGTAAGCAAGAAAATTACCTTTGCCTTTTAAATAAAAGTTTTTAATTAAAGACATTTCTACTCAAAGCAGCATCAAGATTTCACATTTCTGAGGTAAATCTTCGGAGTTACCCAACCCTCGGGGGGGGTTTTCAAGCCGGCTTTTTTCCACATCCTTTTCAGTTCGTTTTCAAATTTTTTCTATACAAAGAAAGGAAAAAACAGAAAATGAAAGTCTAGCTTGGGAACGATGCTCCAAACCGCAGAATTCGTGGCACGTCATCTGAGCTGAGGTTACAATCTCGACATCACCTGGATATAACTCGTTCGTATGATCAGGGCTGCTGTAATGGTCATGTGAAAAATAGTCTTAAGTCACTTTGTTTAGTGCCACTGTAACTTTTGGTCAGTAAACGAATGATTGTAAATCAAGGACTAGTTGTATTAAATCTGTATCTTGGGAAAAATGCCCCAACCAAGTCAGATTTAGTCAAAAGCACTCAGGTGCCAATTTTCTCATATTTATAACAGAGACGACATCCTAGAAAAGCCAAGGCAAAATTGGAGTCTCTCAAGGTATTCCACATCTATGGTTTTTAACCTTCCCCAATGATGGCCCAACCTATTTTTGGCTGCACCAATTATGATCATGCTGTGTTGATAGCTGGACGAAAACCATGGCCTTAAGAGACAAGGGTTGGAGTCAATCACTATGCAATTTTGCTGCACAGAGGCACATGTATAGTGTCAACTCGTAAAGCATTCCTGGCCTGCTCTCGAGTTGCCATAGGCAGGAGGGGGGAAAACTGACGGAGCAACACGGCAGCAACCAGAAGCACATTCCACACATACCTTTCTCAAGACTCCAGCCTAGGTTACCAGAGCCAGCCGGAGAGGCGTGTTCTCTACAGCCCGTTGGAGAATGTGATTTATGACACACCTGTGGGTTGGGTGGGGGGGGAGAAACAGGATCATAGTTGGGATGTAAATTACATGGGGCAGAGCTGACTCCACTTGGGTATGTGCCGACATATTGCTCCTAATAAATAACTGGATTTCTTTTGAAACTTGGCTCGAGGCTCATGAATTAATTAGGGCATCCGTAGGAACCTGACAGCAAGTCAGCTGTACCCCATGTAATTTACATGCCAACTATGACCGTTTCCCCGCCTCCCAGGGTGTGTCATATCACATTCTCCAACGGAGTACTTTTGCGGGCTGTAGAGAACACGCCTCTCTGGCTGGGAACTCTGGTAACCTAGAGAAACGTATGCGTGGAATGTGCTTCTGGTTGCTGCTGTGTTGCTCCGTCAGTTTTCCCTCCTGCTGCCTATGGCAACTCAAGAGCAGGCCAGGAATGCTTTACAAGTTGACATTTAGTTCATGTGTGTTCATCAAGAGAGGAGAAACTCAACCATGCTGTGCAAACACAAACGCTCTTCTTCACCTAGAGGTCAACGGGCAGAAAAACTCACCTGTTTCCGCCACATCCGCTTTTCCATGACCTTTCTCCGCAAAAACTTTGTACGTTTCATCAGCTTCTTGTACTTGTGCCTATTCATCTTCCTCCTCCGGATCTTCAAAATGTTTCTGCATTCCATTCTGGGCCGGTTCATCTCCCCTCTTTGCTCTGCCTCTTCTTCTTCCTCTGCCTCAGTGCCCCTAGAAGGAGCAGGGAGATCATACTGTTGGAACGGTCGGGGAGCGTTCCTCTCATGAACGTTTATGATACCTCCATTTTTAGGGAGGAAATATTGAACCGTCAGCCAGCTTTCAAGAGGTGAGATGGACATCTTGCGAGGGACCAACATTTCTTCCAGTTCAGGGTCAAAGGTAAACCACTGGTGGGGCCGGGTTCCATTTTTGCTCGACGGATGTGTGCTGTAACTTGCCAGAACGGTTGCTCTAGGAGGTGGAAGGACAACAGATGGTCTCAAAAGAAAGCACCCTGTGGACAAAGTGAGAACAAAATTTATAAATAGGTATTTGCAAGAATTTGTGAGAATAAACTCCTGTTTATTTTATTTGTTTGCTGCTCATGTGCAAAGAGGAGACTCTGGCTGGCCTGCATTAAAACAATCACCTTCATTAATTAACGACCCCATCATCCCTTGCGAGGTGGAGTCTGGGCAACTGAATGAAGCTAGCAGAGCATTTCCTGGCTGGATGCCCTTCCTGTCGCCAATGTGGAGCTTTGTTCAGCAGATATATTCTCATTGTGCCCAGAGAGAAAGAAATATCTGCCTCTACCTAGGATCGAACTCACAGCCTCCTGATTGTGAGGCAAGGTTCCACTCTTCATCTCCAGCAAAAGGAGACACGAGATGATGAAGATAAATCTATCTCAGCATCTCCTTCTGTCCTACTATCGCAGCACCATTGACAGTGTCCTGACATACGGCATTCTTGCATGGTATGGGAGCAGCTCTGTAGCTCTACAGAAAATCATTAAAATTGGCCAGAATATCATCAGGGCTTCAGCTACCAGCCCTGGACGACATCTTCAAATCTCGCCGTTTAAGGAAGTTGCATAACATCCTCAGAGACTCTTCCCATCCTGCTTACAATCTTTTTGGACTGTTGCCTTCTGGCAGAAAATACAGAACGATTAAAACTCGGACCACACATTTCTGAATAGTTTTAACCGAGAGCTATAATTGCACTCGACAATGAACTAAAGGGCCACCATCAGGGAGCTGTTGGACAGCATTACTTGGTCTGTTGTGTGGATGTTTCGGTGGTTTTAGGAGTGGGGGAATTTGTGTGGCTGGGTGGGGTGTGTTTTGGGGATTGTTATGTGTGTTGGACCTGGTCTTTGGGTGTTAAGTGAATTTCATTGTATGGGTATACTGTGTATACATGTACAATGACAATAAAGTTATTATTATTATTAACATTGTTAGCATGAATTGGATTAATAGGAATGATACCCAGAAACTTTGCCTATACACAATAGAGAAATGTTTAGATTGAACAAGAAAGATATAGATGAAAACAGAGATATACTGTGTATTATTATTATTTATTATTTATTGAATTTCTATACCGCCCTTCTCCCGAAGGACTCAGGGCGGTGAACAGAATAAGATTTCATATACATATATTTTTGTATACACGTACAATGACAGTAAAGTTATTTATTTATGGGAAAGGCCCCTTTTTTGGGGGGGCCCAAGCGGCCTGGCCACCCCCCACCCCCTCCCCTAGCAAAGGCAGCAGCCCTTTTACCTGCACAGCGCGATGCCCTCACGAGGGGAGCCGTCAGCCGAGAGACCAGCATGTCGAGGCCGGCTAAGTGAAAACGAGAAAGGAAACAGGGTCGTCAGAGAAGCCAGGAGGCCAAAAGCCGGACAGGCCCCCCCACTCGAGTAAAGGCCCTATTCGAGGCCAAAGACGGCCTCCTACACACACACACACACACAACAATGTAAATGCGCACACAAACACACAACCTTATTGTATACCTCCTTACCGAAGAGCTTACCATCAATTTTAAGGCGGGGGGGAAACGATACGAGGGTGCACTTCCGGTCAGGTGCTTGCTTCCGGGCCCGGTTGTTTTAAGAGTCCCTCCCGGAAACGCGGGCTTAAAAGGGGAAGGTTCCGCCCCTTGTATTCCTGGTCTCTGCTTCCCTCTAGGGATCGAATGGCGCAGGTTGATGACGACGAGAGGGGGGGGAAAGCCCAGTTGTATTACTACAGGAGGTTTTTCGCAATAAGGACATGATCCAGTGTTGTAATAAGGATCGTTTTCTAAAATTCCCCATATTACATTATTTATATTTGTCCCCTTGTCACCGAAGATTAAGGTAGTACTTCTACCTTAAGATTAGATATTTTTTTTACTTCTAGAATAGAATTCTTTATTGGCCAAGTGTGATTAGACACACAATTTGTCTTAGGTGCACACGCTCTCAGAATAGAATAGAATAGAATAGAATAGAATAGAATAGAATAGAATAGAATAGAATAGAATAGAATGTGGAGTGTAGAGTAGAGTAGAGTAGAGTAGAGTAGAGTAGAGTAGAGTAGAGTATAGAATTATTTTATTGGCCAAGTGTGATTGGACACACAAGGAATTTGTCTTAGGTGTATATGCTCTCAGTGTACATAAGAATAAAATACATTCATCAAGAATAAAAAGATACACTTAAGATAGATATTTCTAGTACTTAAAAGTCTCTGGCTTGAGCAGGAAGGTTGGACTAGAAGACCTCCAAGGTCCTTTCCAGCTTTATTCTGACATATCCCATTCCTTCCTCTACTTTGCCCCCACAACAATCTTGCGAGGTAGCTTGGGGTAGGGTGGGGGACTGGCCCAAGGTCACCTGATGAGCTTCCAAGGTTGAGGGGTGGACTAAAAGCCACTAACACCCCCATCCCCCTTTTCTGGATGCTATTCCAACAGTTGAATTGTGACACTGCTGTTTATTTAATTTGCCGCCACAACCCTTGGCAGCTTGCATCCGAACAATAAAAAGTATTAAAATAGATACATTTCAATGCAGTAAAGATACAGGTTCTGATTAAAAGATGGGGAGGGCACAGAATGTGTTGTGGGCCAGTGGGCTCAACTATTAAGTCCATCAAATGCTTCCGATGTGTTCCCATTGGGGAGTTTCTAATGGACAGATGTTTTAAATTGCAGGTTATAAGATCACTAGAAAGAAAACAGCACAAGATCTCTTTTATTAGTTGAAGTTCACAACTATGTGGCAAATCTTTCTTGAAACTAATAGTATTGAGGGGGAGGAGTAATAGCTACTCAATTACTTGACAACTAGACAGCTTTAGAGTTCCTAAGTCATCCGATATTAGTGCCCTCCCTGGCAGCAATAAGAATACTCATGAATTAGAAACTAGTTCCGTTTGTCCTAGGGATGTCTAGGGAAAAATAGGGATTTAAGGGTCATTTAGTAGAATTCACATTGAAATTCTTCTCTAAACCACATGAACTTTATTAAGAGTTTAAAAATAGCCTAGAAAATAACCGAAAGTCTTTAATAATAGTAGAATAAATTATTTTCACATTGTCTGCTCCAAGCCAAGAATCTTTTTGAGATTCAGAATATTTTCAAAGTGCACTGCTGAAGACGTTTGGCCTCGTGCTTGGAAGTTATCCCATTTGTGATGGCTATTATAGGGCGAATCTTACACCAAAATGTCTGGAAACTGCCACGCCAAGTTCATACACCACATTAAACTTTCGTTCTTCTATCCTTTTTTTCAACAACGGTTCTTCTTCTTAGCCTCTGCTCCATCGATACAGCTCTCATCCTCAACAGTAAAAAAAAAAAAAAAGGAAAACCAAACCACTTAAGTTTTTGGGCATCAGCCAAGGCCAACTATGTGTTATGAACTGTTGCTATGTGCTTTTTGCGAAAAAAAAAGGAGTGTGGAAATGTTTTTGAGATAATGAAACATTAAGGCAAAGTGCACTGTTATAAAAAAAAATTTTTTTTTCCAGAAACTATGTGCCCCCTAGATCCAATCTGACACCAAACTTCAACCTTCTGCTCTGTGTAAAAGGCTTGCAATTGGTAAAATCTGGTACTGGGGAGAGAAAAAGAACATATCACAAACTAAAACAGCCACTCCAATGCAGGTTGAAGAGTCCGAGTCCAACCGTTTTAAATACAAAATCAAATACTTTAATGAAATTAAGGAACAGGAAGACAGCTCAGATATACCACTAAAACGGATATTCTTGTGCTGCACACATCTCTCTCTTTATATAAACACTTTTCTCTTCAGCAAGCTACGAACAGACAAAAACAATCATTTCTTTCAGACTTTTTGAAAAGATCCTGAGTAAATTTTTTATTAACTAAACCACGTAAAAGGTTAAGCTCTATGAAATCATCCGCAGCTTGGTATTGGTGGCCAGCACCAGGAATTTTTTTTCTTTTTCTTAAAAAAAAACCACTTTCAATATGTGGAATTTAAATACTATTCCATAGTTCTTTCTGCCGGGGATAAAAAATAATAATAATAATAGTAAGAAGAAGTAGGCCTGTGGGGGAAAAAAAACCTCGAGTTAAGGAACGTAAACATTTGCATTCTCAGGATGCGGGTTCCTCGTTCCAAAAATTACTTGAAACACATTTTGCACTTTGAAAGGGTTAAAGCTTTTCCTCCATCCTTCCCATTTCAGCATCGGATCCTTCTTCCCTCTGAGACTGCCTAATATAGGCACTAGATTTTAAAGAATCCGGAAATCACCTTTTCTGTAGTAGCAATGCGAACAGGTTCACTGTAAGAAAAGAAAAAAAAAAAAAAAAAAGAGAGAACAGAGAGAAAGGAAAATGCTCTTAGCACCAAGCAAAATGTTGTTGGGGTGACCTTCCAAGATCCTCTGTGTGTGAGAGAAAGAAAGATTTTTTTTAAAAAATGGGGAAGGGGGAATCTCAACCCTCTGAACAGTGTCCTGAGGTTTTCCTCCGTAGAATCCGACGCAGGCCACAATCCTGCTTTTGACAGCTCAAAGGGACATCACACCAGCAGGAAGCAGACACAAAATCCAGCAGACAAGCAACAGCCCTATATCAAGACAATGGGGGGAAACAGCCAAAGAGGGACCCCCCCCTCAATCCTCATCGTTTGCCCTTGTAGGGTCCGTGCCCTTAACTAGTAGTCAAGATGTTTGTAAGGCTCCAGAGTCCAGCCTTGGGCAAAAGAGGGGCTTGGCTGAAGCCGGGGGAGGAGGGGGGAGCTTTGGCTGTGTTGTCTGACTTCATCTCCGGTGTCGGCTGTGGCCGGGGTGATCTCTCTCGTAGCGATGGCTCGGCCTGTCGTATGGGTGGTGTCGTTCGGGCCTTTGATCCCTGCAGTAGTGGCTCTTCTTCCGGTACTTGCCGGTGTGCTCGGAGCGTTCCCGCGAACGGCTGCGGGATCTCGAGGAGCTCTGGCTACGGGATCTCCGGGCTTTCGGAGAGCCATACTTGTATCCCTTGTCCTTCTTGTAGTTTCGCATCTTGGAGCTTTGGTAACCGGAGGAAGCGGTGTGGCCGAACTGGTGGGGAGGCGAATCGCTGCGGCTCCTCGAACGGCTGTGCGACTTGGAGCAGCTGGAGGTGGAATAGCTTTCACTTTTCCTGGAAGGGGGGGGGGGGGGAGAAAAGGAAGACAGGTTACTTGTCGTTGCAACCGCCAGGGCAGATTTTAAAAACGTTGAAAACTTGAGAACGGTTTGCCTGGCTAATCGTTTGTTTCCTCCTGCGCTTATACTGGTTAAGGCAGGGGTGTCAAACTCAAGGCCCGGGGGCCAGATCCGACCCACGGGGCCACCCTGGAAATAGCCAAGGACCGTCCCGCGGTACTTCTGCCAGCGAAAATATGGCTCTCCCAAGCTCCGTTTTTGCTGGCAGAGGATTGCAGGAGGCCGTCCCAGCTGAAAATGGAGCTCGAGAGCCCGTTTTCTCTGGTGGAGCGTTTGAGCGACAGGCACCCCCGACACGAGTGATGTCAAGCTGGCCACGCCCACCACAGCCCCGGAAGTCAATCACAAGCGGCCCTCAATGAAATTAAGTTTGACACTCCTGAGTTAAGGCATACAATCTTGGGGTGGAGACCGAAAAGGCTGGCTTCCTATTACAGGTGGTCCTCGACTTACGACCACAAGGGAGCCCCAAATTTCTGTGACCAAGCGAGACAGTTGTTAAGTAAAGTTTGCCCCCCTTTTACCACCTTTCTTGCCATGGTTGTTAAGTGGATCACTGAAGTTGTTAGGTTAGTCATTAGTTGGCGAAGTGAATCTGGCTTTCCCCGTGGACAGATTAACAGAGTTGGAAGGGACCTTGGAGGTCATCTAGTCCAACCCCTGCCTAAGCAGGAGATCCTACATGCCTCTACTTAGGATTGAACTCACCACCTCCTAATTGTGAGGCAAGAGCGCCATCTCTAGGCCACAGGACTTGTCAAAAGGTTGCAAAAAGGTCGCTTTGAAGACCTTCCTATTTCAGCAAGCTGGGCTGGCTTAAAATTTTAATGGGTTATTTTAAGGGTAATGGGTTTTAATTTTTGGGAAACCAATTCGATTTAATTCTGTTTTTAAATTATTTTAAATTTTATATTGTATGTATTTTAATTTTGGCTGTTCACCGCCCTGAGTCCTTCGGGAGAAGGGCGGTATACAAATTTAAATAATAGAATAGAATAGAATAAAAGCCTTTTTTCAGCGCTGTTGTAACTTCAAACGGTCACTAAACAAACCGTCATTAAGTCGAGGACTACCTGTAATTGACTCCAACCATTAAACGTGAGAGCCAAATGCCCAGCTAGCAAATGTCATTGGATAGAGACCCTTTCGGTTGTTCTTGTCGCTAAAAGCAACTGCCGATAGAACCAACAAGGCAGCTCCAGCCTTTTGGTTAGCCTACCTCTTTTTTGGAGAAGGGGAGTGCGACGTGGATCGAGAATAGCTCTGGTCTCTGCTTCTACTGCGACTCCTGCTCTCGCGGCCTTTCTGAACACTGTGGATTCAAAGAATAAGGGAGGTGATGCTGTGGATATGTTTTTCTTTTTCTTTTCAGCGAAACGATGAACTTTCACGACAGAGGGTAATCTTAAAAATGCAGTAGTGGCCAAAATTGTGGAAACCTTTTTGGGAAAAGTTGTATTTTTGAGGTTTGATGACTAATAACACCACTTTTTTTTTTTTGGAATTTCAAGATAATCCTATTCCACTGCTGGAATAGCCCAGACCTTAACCCAATTGAAAATCTATGGAGCTGACTCAAGAAACTTGTTAGTCAGAAGCAACCCAGCAATAAAACCCAGTTAATAGAAGCCATCCTTCAATCTTGGTTTCACATAACAGCTGTAGAAGTAAAAGACTTGGTTCACTCCATGGGAAGAGGTTGTAAGGCCGTCATTCATGCTAAAGGTTATCCAACTAAGGATTAACTGACATGATGATCATTTTTGTCTATCTCGTTTTTCCTATGGGGATCATTTTTGTCTGTCTCGTTTTTTCTTCCTGTTTCACTTTTCTTCTTTATACTGTAACTGCTATTCTAATAGCAAATCCTTCCTAAAAGTTATTGTATTACATTCTTGATTAAATTATTTTTCCATTGATATATAATTTTATGGTACTACTAAAAGAAAAAAAAAAGAAAAAGAAAAAGTGGTGTTATTAGCTAGTTTTAGAAAATACGCTTTTCCAAAAAGGTTTGCACAATTTTGGCCACTACTGTAGGATCTCACTACAGAAAGTTCCCCGACCTAACTTCAACTCCCAGAATTCCCCAGGGCTGGCTGGAGAATTCTGGGAGTTGAAGTCCACACATCTTAAGACTGGCCTAGGTTGGGAAACATTGCATGAGATAGATAGAGAGAGGGGGGGAGGGAGGGAGGGAGGGAGGGAGGGAGAGGGAGGGGAGGAGAGGGAGAGGGAGGGAGAGGAGAGGAGAGAGAGAGAGAGAGGGAGAGAGAGAGAGAGAGAGAGAGAGAGAGAGAGAGAGAGAGAGAGAGAGAGAGAGAGAGAGAGAAAAGAAGTATCTGGATTCAAACTGGAGGAAAAAAACCCGCAACACAACTCCCGTTAAGCGGAGGAGAGCCTCCAGCCCCAAACCTTACCCATTAATCGGACTTTTCGACCTCAATCTCTTCATCCCTTCGGTCTTCCTCTTTGCGTTTTTGACTGCCTGCACAGGCAGCGGGGAAGGCTTAACGCTGCCTTTGGTGTCTTTGGGAGATTCTAGAGAGGGGGAAAGAGACAGAGGTCAGGAAACCCAGACCAATCCGGGAACATTAGAAATTTAGGCAAGCGTTGCCCGATCTTTGGGCTACGGGATAGGGAAAAAAGAACCCTCGGGGAACCGAAAACATGAAGGGTCCTGCGATCGAAACTTAAGGACGCAAGTCCAGCCAGGATTCTGTTCAAAAAAAAAACTCCAACGCCTATTGGGTCTATAACATGATCATTTACAAATTCTTGCTGAGTCAGAAGAGCATCTCAAGAGACGAACGACTAGGTCAAAGAGGTGCTTCAAGATAGAACCCAATGAAAGAGAATATTTGCTGGTTGAAATGAAGGGTCCTTGGTGCTCTCTGAACCTGTTTTGTTTTTCTTGCAGACCTTTCATTACCCAACTAGGTAACGTCATCAGTGCTAGTAAGGAATGGGATTTGCTCTCAGTTTATATTCTGGTGTCTGTGCCCGTCTGTGTGGGTTAGGGATTCTTTTGGTTGGGCTGTTTACTGATGGCTCTTTGGCAGTTTCTTCATTGGGGTATTGCTGACTCGATTGTTGGTCTGAAGTCAAATAGAAGTTGAGGAATCTTACTAACCCATCAATCCCCAGGACTGATGGCTGGTTTCAACTAGACTGTGTTCTGACTTAGGCTTCCCAAGAGCATGAAGCAGACTCCTTGTCCCGACAAAAAAAACCTTTTTATTAAGTGACTGTGAATTCCTCTCATTCACATCCAGCAAAGTCTTTCAAGGGAGAATTTACAGTCGCAGACCTTATCTGCCAGGCCGATATCTTCAAAACTTGGCAAGGAGTCTCGGAGAGTCACGAACTAATTAAGCGAACTAATTGTCTCCTGCACACTCCCCTCCCCGTTCGCTCTTTTATTCCCTCTGGGAGGGGGCATTCATCGTCCACCTGTGGCTTTACTCCTGAGTCGACCCTTGTTCTTTAGCTGTTCCCTTCGTCTGCGCAGACTGGGAACAGGCTCCAGCTATTCTTCTGCCCCACTGATGTCCGACTCCAAAGGCAACTGATAACTGGCATCCATCCCTGGCCCCCGCAGGAGCTCTCGTCAGAGCCTTCCCCAGACTCCAGGACTGGCCCATGTTCCTCCCCAACCTCCTCACTGTCCGAATCTGTTGCCAGCTCTGCTGGCGGGCCACAACAGACCGTTCTGCTTAATGGCAAAGACAAGCAGCTTTTCTTTTGACAGGCTACTATCCCCTTCCTAAGTTCATGTCTTGTATATTGGATGTGGAGACCCTTTGAGAGCTGCTATATGCCACGAAATTTCATTTTAATGTGTGCCGATTAGTGTACGTCCAAAGGGACAATAAAGTTATTCTGAGACAAGGAACACCCACCTGGTTTGGGGACGGGAGAAAAACCTGACACGGCAAGATGGGGGGTTCCGTCTGGCACGAGGCCTTTGGCCTGGGCTTTCTCCTCTTCCATGGCCAGCCTCCGCTGCTCTACTCGGCTTTCCAGAACGGCCAGATCAATCTGAGGAGGCAAAGAGAAGGCTTTAGGATCAACCTTTGCTTACCTGAAAAGGCTGCGCCGCAGGGAAGAGCAGGTGGATGGCGAGGAAAAGGACCCAAGAATATGAAGCACAGGTAGTCCTCGACTTACAACAGATTGTTTAGTGATCTCTCAAAAGTTACCGTTTCCCCTAAAATAAGACATCCTCTGATAATAAGCCCAATCGGGCTTTTGAGCGCATGCCCTAAAATAAGCCCCCACCCAGCTGAAAATAAGCCCTCCCCAAAAACATTTAAATGGATGTGCAGCCGGTCCCCGCCATTTCCTCTGGTTAGGGTTAGGGAGACAGATCTGGAAATCAGGTAAGACAGCAAGAGGAGCCCCATCTTGTTCCACGCACCCCAAAGTAATAAAACATCCCCGAAAATAAGGCCAAGCGCTTATTTCGGGGTTCAAAAAAAAAAAAAAAATACAAGACAGGGTCTTATTTTCGGGGAAAACACGGTACCATGGCACTGAAAGAAGTTACTTAGGACCATTGTTCACACTTATGACCGTTTCAGCCTCCTCATGGTCATGTGATCAAAATTCAGATGCTCGGAAACTCACTCATATTTATGACGGTCAGTGTCCCAGGGGGTCACGTGATTTCCCCCCTTTTGGTAACCTCCTGACAAGCAAAATCAACGGGGAAGCCAGAATCCACTTCACAACCGTGTTACTAAGTTAACAACGGCAACGATTCGCTTAACGACGTTGGCAGGAAAGGTCGTAAAATGGGACAAGCTCGCTTCACAACTGTCTCGCTTAGCAACATCAATTCCGGCCTTAGCTGTGGTCGTAGGCCGAGGACGACCTGTATTCCTCCCCCACAGAAATCGGAGTAGGGTTCCCGTCGCAGGCTTGAGAAGGACTCCTGGATGGAGGGGATCTCCGTAATCTTCCCAGCCCCCAAAGTTGATCAAGGAGAGAGAAGAGAGCCTGCTGCTAACCAACCACTGTGGCCTCCCATTTCACGAACCTGCCCCAGAGGCAGCTAACTCACCTTCTTCACCGTGTAGAGCTTCAAAATTTTCAGGCAGACCTCTTGAATTTCCTCCTCGGTAGCCCCGAAGAGAAGAAACCAGTGAGGACGGCTCGGAAGAGGAATCTGCAAAGAAAAGGCATCGCCCGTTCATTAAACTAGGAGAAGGCACGTGCCTCCCTTCACATGCTTCCCTCCCCGCAATGAGGGCGACTCTTTGTAGCGTTTACGGCAGGTTGTAGTAACGGGATTTCCCAAATCGCAGCCAGCTTTCAAACTCTCAAGATGGCTTCCTTGGGTAAGACGTTACCCAAAGATCCAAGATCTTTTTTTTAAGAGCCCTGGTGGCGCAGGGGTTTAGGATTCAGGATTGCAGGTTGACTCTGCCCACTGCCAGGAGTTCGATCCTGATGGGGCTCAAGGTTGGCTCAGCCTTCCAAGGGTCGTAAAATGAGGACCCAGATTTTGAACTGCTTAGAGAGGGCCGAAAAGCACTATGAAGCGGCATATAAGTCTAAGGGCTATTGCTAAAGGGCAGAGGAGGAGAACTTGGGAGACTGAAACAAATTAGTTTTACTGGGGATCTCCCGCTTTCCGGTTTACTTCTCAGACCATCCCTCGATTTCTCAAAATCGAAAAAGTTTCCCTGACGGATGGTTTCCAAAAAAAGGCAGTTTTTTTCCCCGACTTAAAAAACTTTTAAGGAAGGCCTGCTTTGAGACTCAAAATATAAAGCATTGAATTGCAATCCCATTCAGAGCTCCTAGTACATTTTTAAGGTTGTGGTTTTTATTGGGGCGTGGGATGGGAGAATCGACATGACTTTCGTAGAAGCCCAGGCCTGAAAACACTGGATTACTTCTAGGTTTAAAAAAAAAAAAAAGCCTACTTTTTTTTTTTAACCTTTCCTCTTCTGCGAGAAGAAAAAAAAGCCACTAAATGCTCAATACAGAAAAAGAACAGAATAATAAAACTGGAATGGGCCTTGAAGATCTTCTAATCCAACTCTCTGTTCAGACAGGAGATTCTATACTATTTCAAACAAATGGATGTCGAGTCTCTTCTCAAAAATCTCCACGCAGAGCAACAAAGGTGATTAGGGGACTGGAGGCTAAAACATATGAAGAACGGTTGCAGGAACTGGGTAGGTCTAGTTTGATGAAAAGAAGGACTAGGGGAGACATGATAGCAGTCTTCCAATATCTCAGGGGCTGCCCCAAAGAAGAGGGAGTCAAGCTATTCTCCAAAGCACCTGAAGGCAGGACGAGAAGCAACGGGTGGAAACTAATCAGGGAGAGAAGCAACTTACAACTAAAGAGAAATTTCCTGACAGTGAGAGCAATTAACCCGTGGAACAACTTGCCTCCAGAAGTTGTGAATGCTCCAACACTGGAAGTTTTTAAGAAGAGGTTGGATAACCATTTGTCTGAAGTGGTGTAGGGTTTCCTGTCTAAGCAGGGGGTTGGACTAGAAGACCTCCAAGGTCCTTTCCGACTCTGTTATTCTATTGTTCCTTGCTTCGTTGCCATCCACTGCTTCTTGCCCTGCCTTCTGGTTTTTTTTTTTTTCTATTTTAAGTGTTAATATGTCATTTTATTTTAGAGATACAAGAACTGCAACTTCACAAATTCAGACAATGCCTTCCCCCCATTTTTTAAAAAAACATTTGAACACAGTCAAGGCATCCTTCTTTCTTTCAAAACACAGGTGAGGCCTCCAAGACCTTCAAGTTTAACCTCATTATAATAGAGTGAGCAAACTTAACATATGCCCTGCCTTCTGGTGCTTTGGAGAAAAGTCTGACCCCCCCCCCCCCCCCCCCCCACTTTCTCTGTGGTGAAACCGATTCACTAAAAAGCAGCAATCCTGTTTAGGAAACACAAAAGTCTAATTTTTTTAAAGACACCAACCTGAAGAGTCCGAGCAGCAAGGTAAATGCAGGCACAAGCAATCGTCTCCGGTTGATATCTCATAAAAACATCCGTCCTCAGGCTGTCGTTCATGTAATTCCTGAGATAATTGGGGAAGGGAAAAGAAGACAAAAGTAGAAGGAGTTGCTAAGTTGCCCCCCCAAAATTACTTCCTGTACAGTACTAAGCCTCCTCCTTTTGCAATTTAACGGAGCTAACTTTTTCCTGCTAGCTAACCCTGTGAACCCCAACAAGGGAACGAGCTGCTTCATCTCGCAGAAGAGCATCAATCTAGAACATCGATCTAGAACGTTATCAACTGCAACGTGGGTGTTTTGTTTTTTGTTTTTGTTTTTTTAGGAATGAGAAACCTGTTTTAACTTTGCTCTCGGCTACAATCTACCGGGCTGGTCTTACGCCAAGCGCAAGGTTTAACAGCGATCAAGTCATAGCGGTCCGAAGACTCTTCCCACCGCCACGCGTCCGCAATGCAAAAAGAAACAAGTCTGCGGGAACAGGTTCAACGGTTTTGGAGGAGGAAGGAGGGAGGTGAAGAAATCCAGAGCTTTTTCCAACAGCCGGCCTCTTCCGTCGCAAGCCGCTTTCCGACGGGGAGATTCTCTGTTCGGAGGGGAGGAAAACCACTGGACCCAAATCCGTTTGAGGGAGTCAGCCAGAAAAAAAGGTCCCATCCTTTGCCAACGGGGGTGCAATGAGTCAAGTCGAACATGGATTTGGGTTCTCTCCTTGAGTTGTTCTTTAGCCGCCCGGCTGTAACAAGGTCTCTCAAAACAAATGTGCACAGCGTGAAGTAAAAACATACACAGCACATGACCCTCTGATCAGTCCGTTTTTGCACACACCGGAACACGAAAGGCAATGCAAGCAACACAGTACATTTTCACCACCTATAATTTGTTTTATAAAGTATTTTATTTCCCCCCAAGGTGTCGTCTGCTGGATGGGGTTTAGGAGCCTAGGCTGTATTACGCTATGAGTGCATGCCTATTTCTTGTGAAGGTTTGCACACACGGGGGAATTTTAATTTCCGAGCTGCATTTTGTTACCACAACAAGAATCTATCTATTCAACCTCTGTGTGTGTGTGTGTGTGTGTGTGTGTGTGTGTGTGTGTGTGTGTAGGGGGGTGGTGGTGGTCGTCTACAGTGATGAAAAAATTGCTCAGGTGCAGCAAAAATGAAAGAGAGAGAGAAAAAAAAGGCAAACCAACAATTATTTAACAGGAAATGCCTTTTCTCCCCCCAAATACAGGTAGTCCTTGAGTTACAACCACAATGGAGCCTAAAATTTGTTGCTAGGTGTGACGCCAAGTGAATTTTGCCCCGTTTTAACACCTTTCTTACTACAGTTGTTAGGTGAATCACTGGCAGTTGTTCAGTCAGTCACACGGTTGTTAAGTGAATTTGACTTTGGTTGTCAGAAGGTTGCAAAAGGGGGAATCGCGTGACTTCGGGAGACTGCAACTGTCATATATAGGAGTCAGTTGCTGAGTGTTTTTAAGTTTTGATCGGGTGACCCTGCCTGCCAGCACGGCCGTGTGTAAAAATGGCCAGAAGTCACATTTTTTTTTCAGTGCCATCGTAAGTTCGTACGGTCGCTAAATGGATTGTTGGACGTCAAGGTCTACCTGTATTTATGCCCGCCGGAATGTTCTAAATGGCCTCTTTCAACCGTCTTGGGGCATGGAAAAACCGGTCCAGGGGATGAAAAGAAGGACTTAATAATAACCATTCTTGGACGGTGGCAGCCTAGATCCACGAAGAGGATGGGGGACCAGTTGTCCAACTAACCTTTGAATGGAGCTACGTCAGTTTAGATTAGAAGACGCACCAAAATGAACTAACTGTGGTGGCTTCCCAGAGTTACAGGAGCTAAATGATCAAGGGCAGCACCTGGAAACAACTGAAAAAGTGCGGTTATGCAACATAAGATCTTGGACTTTTCCCCCACCACCACTTTACCGGACAGCAATAATTCCAGCAGAGAATCAAACATTCTAATTCAACAACAATGGAAGGCATTTTGTTCTGGGAGGCAACGGTGAAGATCCAACTTTTGAAAGTCCAAACAGAACCCCTGGGCCATACGACGTGCATAATAATCAGGAAAGTTGACATCTTTTTTTTTAAAATAAATAATTACAATACAATACAAAAAGCATAATAAGATTTACAGATGCAATAACCAGCATTTAGAGCCCCGTTCCCTCCTTCCCAGCCCAGCGACAATTTTAAGAAGAAAAAATAAATAAATAGCCAAAACATTTGCATTGAACTATGAGATATCAAACATAATAGCATCAGAGCACCTGGACAGTAAGTAACACGGGCTCACCTGGGAAAAGTGTGCAAACGAAATGGAAAAGAGATTGGAAACAAACGGGGGGAGGGGGGAATAAAATAAAAATAAAATCAACAAGCAGCAGTTCGGCCAGTTTTTAACTCTACTAGCGGACGCATACCACCTGTCTAGAGAGTCAGCCTTCTCTCTGCTGGAGCCTGCTCGGGGTTTGACTGAAGACGCCAGTATTCCCTGCACCATTGTTCGTGGGCAGCAGAGGAGGTCTTAGTCACTTACCCTCAGAGGCTACCCTTCGATCAAAAGAGTACAGAAAAAAAAGAAAGAAAGTCAAAACAGGTTCTCCTTCAAAACCACAGCCAGACAGTTCATAACAATCGCTTTTCGAGATCAATGTTTTTTACACCCTTGGTAGGTTCACAGGTTTAGCTGCTAGCTTTCTTACTACGGGGTCGAAGGGCAGTGGGAGGGAGGAGAGGCTGGCTAGGACTGTTGAGATTCAGAAAACACCAAACACGGAACAGAACAGAGATATTTTAAGGATCTAAAACCTGGGAAATGGGGACACGGACAAGATGGCTGAGGCCACCTTGGGGGAGCTGTTGTAAGGTGACAGGCAGCCACTAGTCACCCAAAAGGTAGGTGTTAAAACAGAGGTCCCTAACTGTTGCAGCGTGACGGCCTGGCTGGGGGTGGGTGGGAGAGGGGAACTGGGCCGTGTGAGTATTCACCAGCCCATCAAGTTGAACACTCATGCATGGGCTGCTTGCGTGCGTCGGCTCGCTGCTTGCGTGCACCGGCCCACCACTCATGTGGCCCAATCCCAAAGAGGCCATTAGTGGGCTGCGGTCCACAGGTTCGGGGGGAGACTCCATGTGCTAAAAGATTGCCACCCCCACACCTAGAATAAGACCCACCCCGGGCAATGTGTTTTTCAACGACAAACGCTGTGCGTGCAAGTTGCTTTCGTGCCCTCCCAAGGTTATTTTCTTCCGATGCCCTCCCTCCTTTCCCTACGCAAAATGGATTTGGCATCCCCATTCCAAGCACAGATGATCTCCCTCCGAAACCCCCGCCCGGAAATTTCCCTCAGGACAGAAAGGGTGGGGAGATCCGCTCTCTTACCATTTAAGACAGTGTGTAGTGTGTGTTTGATTCTTTTAGCAAAGCAGCCCGTCCGTTCGGAGGGACAAGAAGTGGCGTTCCGGGGTTTTAAAAAAAACACAACGAAAACGGAAGGCCACGAACACGGCAGTGGAGCACGCGCACACAGCCCCCACAACTATGACACATTCCAGCCACTGCCCCGCTGGCCTCAAGAGAAACAAGAAACGTCAACTTACCATGAGGTCTGGACCAGGTGCTGGTTACGCTCACATTCTAATACCTGAAGGTACATAACGATTATCTGGAAGATACGGGTGACGGAGTTATACAGGTGGTCAAGCGGCGGAGAGAGGTATTAATTTAGAGAGGAGGCCAGCTGAACTAAGGTCCTCTTTGACAAGCTGCTCTGAGCCACAGCTAACTCTAGGTATGAATATATATATATAGTAAAAAAAAAAAGAAGCAGACATACTGCGAACTCCGGAACTTAAAATCTTAAGTTCCGGAGTTCGCAGTATTTATGCCCTCCAAAAGCAGAGAAGTGAGACTCAGAAGGACAGACACATAACGCAAAGCTTTCTCCTGGGCATTTCGTGTTTCCAGGCCTGGCTCTCTTCAACCTGATCCAAAGGAAGTTAAAAATGGGAGAGAGCTTTCTCCTTCAGGAAGGTAAAGGTAAAGGTTCCCCTCGCACATACGTGCTAGCCGTTCCTGACTCTAGGGGGCGGTGCTCATCCCCATTTCAAAGCTGAAGAGCCAGCGCTGTCCGAAGACGTCTCCGTGGTTATGTGGCCGGCATGACTCAATGCCAAAGGCGCATGGAACGCTGATACCTTCCCACTAAAGGCGGTCCCTATTTTTCTAGTTGCATTTTTTACGTGCTTTCGAACTGCTAGGTTGGCAGAAGCTGAGGCAAGTCACGGGAGCTCACCCCGTTATGCGGCACTAGGGATTTGAACGGCTGAACTGCCGACCTTCTGATCGACAAGCTCAGCGTCTTAGCCACTGAGCCACTGTGTCCCATCTCTTTCAGGATCCACCCCAAAAACTGTACAAGTTGATGAAGGGGTGAAAAAAGAACTAATCTACCTTACTTTGGGCTTCAAAGTATGCCCAGAAATGAGTTAAGACTGCTCAGGGGAAAAAGAGTTAGGGCACTCAAACTTGATTCACAAGCTGGAGCTTATATTCTGAGAAGCAACAGCAACTTAAAACTCATATACCGCTTCGCGATGCTTTACAGCCCTGTCTAAGCGGTTTACAGAGTCAGCCTATCTTCCCCCAACAATCTGGGTCCTCAATTTACCGACCTCGGAAGGACGGAAGACTGAGTCGACCTTGAGCCAGTCAGGAATGAACTGCTGGCAGAGAGCAGTAAGCCTGCAATGCTTATAGCCTGCAATGCTTATTATATATATATATATATTAAAAATTCCCAGAAAGGAATTAAACAAGAGCATGGTGGAAGAGAAAAATCCAAGGAGCCACAGTGTATAGGAAACGGGTATCTCTACCTCTCCTGATAGCCCTAAACTATGGCTACGATATCCTCATTTCTGAAGCTCACAAATCAGATTTTATTAATGCAGAAACATTTTATCCAGGGTTTTCCCCTGGATTGTATAGTGAGGGACAGTGCTGGGCAAGGTCAGCCAGCAAGTTTAGAACAAACAGTCCACTCACTGTGCTCCACGCTTCCCAAAAACTTCCAGGACTTTACTGACGATCATTTACTTCATTAAGATGCTGGGCTCTGATCGCAAAGATTTAGAGAGAGAGAGGGATGCGATTTGGTTGGGAAACTGTAAAAGGGGGCCTGAATGGGGAAGCCTCGTGCCCTTTCCTGGCCCAACCAGAGACAAAGCCAAGCTCTTCATCAGGCGTAGTGTAATTCACGCACACCCTCTGATGGGAACACCCTTGCCAAAGAGGCTCAGGATTAAAAGCACCGAGAAGATGCGGGGTTTCCACTCCGCAGAGTTGCCAGCTTGTTTCGCTCTCAAAGGGACAGTACTTGAATGTTGTTGAGTCCAAAAAAAAAAAAAAAAAAAGGAAGCCATACAGCAGAGAGGAAGAAAGAGAACACACTCCCTTGCACAAGGATGTGAGCATCTGGGAAGATCTGATGCACAACTGAAGAAAATTATAGTGTTACCTGGACATACCAAAAGACACTCCTTGTCACGTGGATTGAAAACGAGCAATCCTTAACACAGAAAGGTGATCGGCGCTTAAAATGGGAAGCCATCCGTTCAGTCCTGGGCCTTAAGGGGTATTTCTTTAAATGAGGTTGGGGAAGAAACCCCCAACTCTTTGGTCTGTCCAGGCAACAGATATATAGGAAAGAAAAAAAAAAACAGGAAACCCAATACGAACCTTGTGAGGATGCTTCACGTGGACGCAAAATCCGAGTTCTTTCAAAATTCTCCTCTCTGCCTTGATGATTTGGTTCTTCAAGTTAACGTATTCTTGATCCAGTATTAGGGGTACAGGTTTCCTGCGTGAAGGAGGAGGGAAGGAGGGAGGTCTTGGCTGAAACCTCGACAGCCTAACGCCCACAGTAGGAGACTTAGTGCCAGCTTTTGTACGGTCTGAATGGAAAAATCAGCTCAATTGAAGCCACGGCCCTCATGTTCTGACCCAGCTCCCCAAACACGACAAACCCTCTGAATTTAACTCAAAAGATTAGGAGCGCCGGCATTCCCGGCAAAAAGTTTCTCTCTCACCGCAGGCTAACAAGACTGTCCGCCTGGGAGATGAATAGTTGTCTGCCACATCCATCCATCTCCGCCCGTTGGCTTTTAACCCCAGAGCTAGGATGGGGGCTTCACTAGTAGCGGTGGCTTTTCTGTCCCAAGGACCAGCCCATAGATTTCCACTGCTCTCCTCTCCTCTGCCTTCTGTGCGTCAGGCACTGGACCCAGCTGTTCCTCCTCTTCCTCATCAGCCACCTCCAGACCTGGGGGTTGTTGACTCTCCATCTGAGGGCTGTCGAACGGCCCATGCTCCTCCCTCTCTCTCTTTCTCTTTCTCTTTCTCTCTCCCTCTCTCTCTCTCTCTCTGACAGCTCCATTCCCTCTTCCCCCTTGGAGCTCTCAGGTTGCCCTGATGCTGACCCTGACTCCCACGCCGCCTCCTCCTCCTCCTCCTCCGATCTGGCTGCTGCCGGCAGGCCACAACAGATCATCCCTTGGTGCAATCAAGTTGAAGGGAACCAGATCGAGAAAGGTTTAAATTCTTCCATCTGGAACCCTCAAGATCCTTTTGGTGAGGGCCAGCCACCCGATTCAAGCCCAAATTCCCTCTCTTTAACCGATCCTTCAGCCCCAGAATGAGTTTTTCTCCCATACAAAGCTTCACTCCTTTGTAGCACCTCCAGCAATTATATTGTTTCTAGGAATATAATTGCGGTCTCCCTTTTGCCAAGTTCAGGAGCGAAAAACCTGGAGATAAGAACCCCAGCGACTATCTCCTTCGCGAACAGAGGGGGAGGAATCGCTGCGAACCCCCTTTCCGCATTGGATGGGATCCACAATCCGAGAAAGACCGGATCCTTAAATCACCCGTATATTGCGTGTGGATGCAGGAAAAGGGGCCAGAGCATGAAAGACAAGGAAGTGGATGGGTGTGTGTGTGTGTGTGTCATGACCGAGGCTTACAAGAATTCTTGCAAGAAGGCCGAACTAGAAACCGCGAGAACTGACCGCCCAAGCCCACCGCATTTCAGACTTACTTTTTCTCTCTCAGTAACCGAAGTCTGTGGAATACATTGATCACATCTCTTATGCGCCGTGGGGCTTCTTCTATTTTGGAAGCCAAATGAAGACAGGCCATCGACACATGCTGGAAAGAGACAACGGAAATTTCATTCTGAGCTGCGGGAGAACAATTTGGACGACTGGCTTTTGAGCCAGTCTTTACGCAGTCCATCCAATCTCACCGAGCTGCCCCTTTTGTTTCTGAGCCCAATCGAAATCAATCTTTTTTGTCAACTGGCAAACCATCCCTGGCCTGCTCTTGAGTTGCCATAGGCAAGGGGGATGGGAAACCGACGAAGCAGCACGACAACCAAAAATAGATACACATTCCAGACATCTCTCTCTCAAGGCTGTCTCCCAGGGTTACCCACAGCGACAACCCATGAAATTGCTCCGCTGGCGAATGTGATTAATGACACACCCTTGGGAGAAACAGGGTCTTGATTGGGGCGTAAATTACGTGGGGTGAGAGTTGGCTTCACTTGGAAAGTGCCGACATGAAGCTCCTCATAAATAACTGGATTTCTTTGAGGCTCATGATTTAATTAGGGCATCGGTCCAGAACCCTGACACTTTTTTTTAAACAGCTAATCCTCGACTTATAACCATTCTTTTAGTGACTGAAGTTACTATGTCACTGAAAAGGGGGACTTATGACCGTTTTTCACACTTATGGCCATTGCAGTGTCTCCATGGTCACGTGACCAGAAGTCAGCCGCTTGGCAACTGGCTCCTATTTATGACCATTCCAATGTTCCAGGATCATGTCAATCCCGGGTTGCGACCTTCCGACAAGCAAAGTCAGTGGGGAAAGCCAGATTCACTTCACCACCGTGTGACTAACTTAACTAACTCAATTAGCAACTGTGGCAAGAAAGGTCGTAAAATGGGGCAAAATTCACTTAACAATTCTCTCACATAACAATGGAAATTTGGGGTCAACTTTGGCTGTTAAGTCAAGGACTACCTGTGCTTTTAAAAAAGCTCTGCCACTGCAGGACTCAGAATGTTAACTCTTCTCACACACACGAGATTCAGGAAGGGACCTTATCCTTAAGCTTCTCTCAGCACAACTCCAAAAAAGGGTCAACTTTGCTTTCATTATAATTTTTGAAAGAAAGTTAAAAAAAAAAAAAAAGCTTCTCTTTAAATGTTTTCGGTGAGTCATCTTTTTCTGACGCAGGAGGTAGAATTTCTCAATCTTTTAAAAGTTGCGTAAATGTCAGCAATGAAGGAAAAGGAGCATATATTTCAATCAACCCCCAAATTTAGCATCAACATGATACATTATGGATGTGGCCCAAGAGGAAAAAGACATTATCGATTCATGTTGACACTAAACTGAAGGCCTGAAAAACATTTGTATTCGAGATCAACAGGACCTATCAGCAAGTAATATCAGCTGGGGATGTCCAGCAGAAAAATTTCAGTCTGATGTTCCAAAATGGCAACTGAGCTTACAGCCGCCCCC